CCCTGTCTCAAAAAGACCAAAAAAAAAAAAAAAAAAAAAAAAAAAGTGTTTTAATTTCGACTAATTCAATTAACCTCCAGAGAAGCTCCGCTGAGTTTGTTTTGCAATGCTGCCCTCTAGTGCTAAGTAGAAGAAGTGCAGTACCAGAATTCAAACTTTCGCCAGGAGTCAAAATTGCCCACCCACTCAAGAGATTAACATAGTAAATGTTTCAAAATATGGTGGAAAAATACTATGACACAAACTCCTTTTTTTCAGTACTGGGGATTGAACCCAGAGCTTTGTGAAAACTAGGCAAGCACTACCACTGAGTTACGTTTCTACCCTTATAAACATTTTAAATTTTAAAATCTAACATGGTGAGGTCAAGAGTAACAGGTACAGGCCAATATAAAAATCCTACAACTTTCAAAATTATAAATAAAATCAAATTTTGTTAATTTTCTTAGTGATTAGGGTATCTGTGGTACTTGTATAAGTTTTAACCAAATGGAGTTTACAAGTATAATTTCGGCTGTAAGCAAAATTATTGTCATAATCACAGTGAAAAGAAAACCCAGAAAGAACTGTGCTGTTAATGAGAATTGAAGGAATAATCACTTACTGGGCACTTCCTGTGTGTAAGGCACTCTGCTGGTGCATTCATTTAATTCTCAGTTCAACTTCATAGTATTTTATGAGGTCAGTAGCATTGCATATTACCCAAGACTCAAGGAGTTTATTAAGAGCCGGTAGCTGGTAGATCAGTGCTAAGCCTGTAATTAAAAAATGAAGCTTGTCGAGCTCTAAACCTAAAATTCTGCCTGGTAAAATAGGTGTGATGGATTCTTTCTTAGCTAAATACAGAGTATGCATTTTAAACCAAAACTCAACTGGGTAGCTAATATTAAGTGAAGAAAGATAGCAGAACACTTTTTTTTTGTCTTTTTGAGACAAGGTCTTGCTATGCAGTTCAGGCTGGCCTTGAGCTCACTTTGTAGTCCAGGCTGGCCTCAAAATTGCAATGATCCTCCTGCCTCAGCCTCCAGAGTGTTGGGATTACAGGAGTGCACCACGATGCTTTCTTTCTTTTTTTTTTTTTTTGAAAGAATTTTTTTTTTTTTTTGAAAGAAATGGGATCTAAGTTGCCCAGGTTGGCCCAGAACTTGCAATTCTCCCACCCCAGCCTCCCAAGCAGCTGGGATCACAGGCCTGCACCACCACACCTGGCCCTTGAACACACCCTTAATAGGATAAAATATATCCATCTTCACCCAGACACGAGCTTGCGCTTAATAGGACACATGAGAGGCATCTTCATGGAATCTGGGAAGGAGAACAAACCACCCAGTCGCATCACATTTATTAATACTTTGGAAGCCAATGAAATTAACCAAAAAGAATGATTTTGAGAGGTTAAAATTTAGAAATGAAGAAGGAAATCATCAGTAGTTTAGAGAGGGCACACAATTACATACCCAGAAAAACCAAGAAAATCAAATAAAAAACATTACAGGGAACAAAGCAATCACTAAAGGGGTAGGTACAAAATGAACATTTAGAACAAAATAGCATTCACATAACAACTAGTTAGAAAAAATAGTGGGAGAAAAAGCCCAATTTACCACATCAATAAAAAAGATTAAAAGGTAGGTTTAAATTCAATGTGAAAGAGCAGTTTCAGGAAGACTTCAAAGTGCTTCTTGAAGTACATATTTAGACAAATGGAGACTTAAGTTCTTAGGCAGGAAGATTTAATGTCATAAAAAATCCTCAAGTTATTTTAAAAACTATAATAAAATACTATATAATAATAATACTGACTATAATGACTATAATAAAATACAAGTATAAACTTTCTTGGAGGGTACTAGTTTCACTGGTTATAAAGTTCATGTAGAAGGTAAATATGCAAGAACAGATTTGTAGTGTTTACAGTTAATAATGTATTATACATTTAAAAATTGTTATTAAAATTGTATTGTTATTAAAATTGTTATTAAGAACGTATTATACATTTAAAAATTGTTACTATATATTTTAATATTTTGTTACTATTATCATGTAATATATTATATATTTTAAAATTGCATTATCTTCAAATGTTCTCACCACAAAAAAAAGTACTGTATGTGAAGTGCTGGATACTCGTTTGTTTGTTTTTTTTTGGTTTTTCTCCGATACCGGGAACCGAACTCACGACCTTGCGCTTGCCAGGCAGGCGCTTTTGCCACTGAGCTAAATCCCCAGCCCCAGTGCTGGATACTCGTATACAGATATCAAAATATCACATTGCAGCTCCCAAATATATTCATTTGTTATTTGTTAACTAATAGGAAACTTCTTCTAGGGAGAAGACACATCTACTGAATATTAAGATCTATTATTAAATTATAAGCATTAAACTGATTAGACAGATCAATGGAATGTATTTGAAAAGGAAAAGCGGAGAAACAGGCCAAGCACGTGGACATTTACTATATTACCAACGTGGGATTACAAGTTAATGAGGGAAAAACAAAGGTCACTCAAATAACAGGATTTTGAAACCTGGGGGACAACCCGGTGAAAAGTGGAACTGGAGCTATTCCTTTCATCTTACACCGAAGTAAATCCCAGGTGTGTCAGACTCAATCTAAAAAGGAATCTGAAATGGAAGCCGTAAAAGTGCCTCAAGCCAGAGGGACGCGGGCATTCCAAAGTCTGGCCCCAAACCATAAAAATGACTGAGCAATTCCAATCACCAGTGATTCGGCAAAAGGAAGCAGGACAGATTAAAAGGTGAGGCCGTGGACACCACTGGCAGTGACAGGTCGCTGTTGTGGGCATAGGTGAGGACCACCTGGACCGCGGGTAGAAGCCAACAGGAGGAAAGGGACACTCACACCCCTGGAGTCGGCTTACCTACCTCTCTGGTGAGGGGAGGGGTGCGGCACGCTCAGACGCAACCTTCGAATTGGCAGATGCCAGCGGGTGTTTGGTGGGCAGTGTCCCATGCTCATTTTTCACAGAAGAGAAATGAGTCACGTTGTTAGGGACGCCGAAGGTGACGAAGAGCCGCGTTCAGAGCTCCCAAGGAGAACGAAGGACGGAGCCTTCGCGCGCAGGGCTGACAAGGGGCAGAGAGCTCAGCCAAGCGTTCCCATCAACACGTTTGCGTTAAGAACCGCAATAAAACATTATAATACCGAGAAGCCTCTGAGTTATTAGTATCATAAACTGTAAGTGCGCGCCGCCAGGAGAGGGTCAGAAACCACTGCCTGCTAATTAGCCTCCTCCTGGGGTTTTGCAAACTGCAGAGAGACACAGAGGCCTCTGCTGGTTACACGGAGAGACCCGGCCAGCAGCAGTGCGGCTCTAGGCCTGTGAAAGCAGCGGCTTGAGATACCCGAGGATGACGGCAGAGACAGACGCGGGGGAGGGGAGCAGAGTAGATGGGCTTGGGCTCCTGTCCTACTTGACCTTTGTTACATCAGCAGATTCATCTTCTTTCTTGATCTAAACTTTTGTGCATTAAGTATCTGATTCTTGGGGCTGGGGATTTAGCTCAGCGGCAAAACGCCTGTCTGGCAAGTGCAAGGTCGTGAGTTCGATTCCTGGTACCGGAAGAAAAAAACAAAACAAAAGAAGTATCTGATTCTTAAAGCTGCTGAGTCCTGATTAATGACTGTCCACAATGTGGTACCGTCTTTGTGGGAGACATAAGGCCACCTATGAAGACACAACTCCTGACCTCATTCAGTGGCTTACTTGCATGGCATGGCACGTCCAGTTGCTTCCTGTGCATACTTCTGCTTGTTGAGATGAAGTCTGTCTTTGAAGGTCAGGCTAGCCTTGAACTTACAATGCAGCCCATGCTAGACTCAGTCTTGCAGTGATCCTCCTGTCTCAGGCTCTTGAATGCTGGGATTAGAGGTGTGTGCCGTCATGCCTGGCAAATATGCATACTTTTGATATGATTCCTGAAGCATCTTTGAAGAATCCTGAATTCTGCAGCAGCTACCTTTGGAAACTTGTGGACCAGAAAATGGAGAATCAAGAGAAGACCGCTCCTTTTATAGCTGCCCCAAATGAGAACATGTTGGTACCACCCTCATCCTCCCCAGAGTTCATCAAAACCTGAAGATGATGTAGTAATGTTAATATTAGACCAAACAGAATTTTAGGAGAAAAGCAGTGAAAAGGACAAAGAGGGATATTTCATACTGAAACAGTCCACCAAGAAGACACCACACACAAACCTATATGCTCCCTGATGTATGGCCTCAGGGTGGTCAGTAAATTACAGTCACAAAGAGAAATAGACATGGAATCAGAGTTGGAGAATTTGGGCCACATCTCTTAGAACGGATTAGAACAATATATTAAATCCATTGAAATAGATTGAAAAGAGATAAAACAGATTGAAAAACTGTTCAGATGGAGAAGATGAGAAGTAGAATCAGGATAAATAATAAATGAATGGATGAATGAAGGAATCAGAAAATTGAGATTAATACATCTGATTAAGGGGGGGAGGAAGAGAGAGAGACAGAGAGAGAGAGAGAGAGAGAGAGAGAGAGAGAGAGAGAATTCTGTTCTACAGAGGACACGGTTATTTTTCTCAAGCCATACACAGACCCCTTCCCAAAACTGACTATATTGTGCTACAGAAAAAATTTCAACAGACTCTAAAGAATTTTTAGAAACAAGACTGTGCTTTTCTGATTACAAAGAAATAAGATTCAAGGTAATGACCAACCTCGGGGCTGTGGAGGGAGGCGAGGAGGGAGACCTGGTCCTCTGGAAGCTCTGAGAGGAGGCTGCAGTTGCACTGGTTTAAAGTGTTACATTTTAAAGCTTGATGGTGGATGCAAGAACATATTATTATATTTTAATAATACTATTTCTTATATATCATATTATTTATACTTTTCTGTGATTTTAAGGATTATACCACAGATGACGACTGTCACATTTGGCACATGTCTTTACAGTTTAAAATGCACACGTTGCACATATGTAGACACGCTATAACAAATCTGGCTCTGAGAAAAGAAGGCTTATGCTTTAAACCTACCCTTTTATACTTGCTCTTGGCTGATTCCTGGATCAGAAACCCATGCAGTGCAGCTAATGGCTGATCTATGCCATAAGTGATGAGCAAACTTTAGATGCTCCATCTTACCAGGGCAGAGCTAGATAAATGAGGGAAATGAATTGGCTAGCTGAAAAAACAATATGGAATGAAACAATATTCAACCTGGAAACTTTTATCAAAGGAATAGAGTATCTTGGGTATCTGAAAGAGTATCAGCATTTCATGTTCATTTCAGCTTTTCTTCTGGGAAAGTCAGTCCACTTCCCATTGGTAGAAGTAACTGGCTTCTCTGTTCCATCTGCATTTATATCACACTGAGTTTAATAAAATATTTCTTGGTACTAGTCCTCATTCAAAACAGTGAATGTACACAAGGTAGACTTCAATTTGCGTCACAGCTGAATTCAGGTGAAACTGTATAAAAACATAATTATTATAAATTTCGTGCCTTTCCCCCACTGATTTACACTATGATGCCAGATGCTTTGATTTCCCTTTTGAAAACCTTTCAGTAAAAGGTGAAAAGAGCCAATAACACTTTAGCTACAAAAAGTCTCTTGAAATGGCTAATGATCCATCAGAAGCTTTTCAATTGCTTTCTGTTCTTTTTAATGGAATCCTTCCCTAATATGTGTATTTATAGCTCCTATTCACCAAGGCCCATTCATCAAACCCTTCCACGCACAGATAATTATCCACCGAGTGCCTGCCACTGACCAGGCTCTTTCGTGCTGTACACAATACAGTGCATGTGATGGCAAAGTCCTCAGAGTTCTGTGTGCTTCTGTGTGCCTAGCAGAGGAGCAGAAAAACAGGCAACTTTTCTTTTTTTGATGGAAATTTCTTTTTTCAGTTTTTGTTTGGCTGTGAGTTTGCAGGACTCTCTGGTCAGACACAATTCTTTGCAAAGATGGCTTGCATCCGGAGAACCCCAGGACAGGACTGAGCTGCTTCAGTTACGGCCCCAGGTTCTGGCCCAGGCAGGACTGTGTAGGGGGCTGGGGAGGAACGGTTTGCAGACCTGGGACTGTGAGTCAGCCAAGGGGTGGACAGCAGCCTGGGGCAGGCGGGGAGGAGCTCTGGGTATAGAAACAGGACTCAGGAAGGAGGCTGGGATCAGAAAAAAGCTTTGTGCCCTGTGGCCAATGTCTCTAAGCACCTCAAATAACCAAAATGATGGTATTAGTCGGGCGCGGTGGTACACACCTGTAACTCTAGCTATTTGGGAGGCTGAGGCAGGAGGATCACAATTTTGCTGATTGACAGGGCAAGGCCCTGTTTTAAAAATTCATAAAGGGCTGGGCATGTCACTTAGCAGTAGGGTGTTTGCATAGCAGTGATTCCACCCCCTGTACTACCAAAAAGTATTAGCAATAAAAAGCATGAATGCCCCATTACATCCCAGACATGTGTTTTAGGTTGAGTCCCTCAGAAGTGTCCCTGCAAGGAAGCCATGTGAAAGTGACATTAGGAAGCAAGCCCAGAGTTTTCTCCTGAGGGTGCTTGCATGAGGTGAACATTTAGACCAAAGGCCAGGGAAAGCAGGTTGTCCACTGTGGGCCTCGACTAATCAGCCTGGTGGCCTGAAGAACAGAAAGTCCCTCCCTGAATAAGATGGAACTCTCCCCGCCTGACCGACCGGCCTTCGGGCCGGGACATTAGCTGTTTCTTGCCTTTGGACTTTGTTCCCGGGTCTTGAGCCTGCTGGCCTCAGGACTGGAGCTACACTGCCTGCTTTCCCTTTTGTTTACTTATTTATTTGTTCCTCTTTTAAATTTTATTTTTACTAGTACATGTTTGAAATAATAATGACAGCATCCTTCACGGGGAGCTGGTCCGTGTACAGAGCACATCTCAATTCTCTTCTCCTCCCCTCTCTCCCCTCTCCCTCCATCTGCTGGTCCCCTTCCCATTTGCAAAAGATTGATCTCCCTGTTTCCTGTTCTCTATCTTTTCTTTAGTGCTTTATTTATACTTTGGGTTTCTCACATAAGAAAAATTGTGATGTTTAAGCTTGGGTGTCTGATTTATTTCACTTAATATTATGAGCTCAATGTGCATCAATTTTCCTACAAACGACTCAAATATATGCTTCTTTATGGCAGAGTAGTATTCTACTGCATTCCACATTTTCTTTATCCATTCAGCTGTTGATGGGCGTATAGGCCACTTCCAGGGCGAAGCTATTGTAAGTAGTGCTGCTCTAAATATGGCTATGCACGGGTCACTATTACATGGTGTCTTTAACTCTTGCCAACTGCAGATCTGGGGACTTGTTAGCCTCTATGATCACGAGCCACTTCCTCGTAATAAATGGACAGAAGCGAACCAACAACTGTACATACAGAGACGCACGTGGTGACACCATAGCCGTTTCCGCCTAAGTGCACTCTTGATGCCGTCACACCCACGAAATCACCAAAGGCAGCATTGAACATACTCCCATGGCCAGCCCAGGCGTGGCCCTGCCTCCTCTTAATGCGTTTTCCAGGCTGCCGTGTGTAGCTAAGGAGGCCCCAGGAGCACAGAGAAGCCAGGGCTGGCTGTGTCCCACAGTGAAGGGTACTGAGGACTAGCGCAAAGAGCAGCAGGATACCCCGGGGGACTCCAGGGGCTGCGGCGGGACTAGGTCTGCGGAAAGCAGTCTTCCTCTCTGTCCTCTGCGCTCTGCGTGCTGCCCGGCCGCCTGCGGAGCCTGGGAGCCACAGCAGCCCAGGACAACCCGCGCGCGGGCGGAAGTGCCGGGCGTGGCCGCGAGGGGGCGCGCCGGCCTCGGGTACCGCGCCTCGCTCAGCCCGCGGGAAGCTGCCCCCCAACAGCTGTCTCGGGAAAGGGTGCCCCTGGGCCCGCCAGCTCGGTCCCCTGTCCCGAGAGCCGCGCAGCCCCTCGTCGCCCTTGGCTGCCCCTTCCCCGGGTGCCAAGGTTCGGATCGTGCACATCCCCCGCCCTCGGCCTCCGCATCCCAGGGCCAAGGCGAACCCAGAAAGTGGCCTTGTTGGGGTCCGGAAGGGAGACAGATCCGGGCAAGTAGACGAAGCGTGGAGGCAGCCGCTGACACCGAGTCCGCGGTCGTGGTGCTGCTGGCTTGGGATGGGGCGCCCTTGGATGGGGCGGCGGTGGTCAGGACCCAGAGGGTAAGGCACACACGCCGTACACGCGCTGCCCACCCAGCGGGGCTCCCTGCGCAGTCAGGACCGCCCCAGTCCCCGAAGCAAGCGCGTCCTGCGGGCCACCTCCTCCTGGGAGCCCCTCACGGTGGGGAGGGGGGTGGCAGCAGTGAGCCTTGCCAGCCGCCCACCGGGGGACACTTTGGGGACACACCTGGCAAGGGCCACAGAGCCGGAGCCCGAGCCGATCAGCGACGGTGGGAGTCCGGGAAGGGCTGGCGTCTGGGTGGAGTCCGGGAAGGGCTGCTGCCGAATTCGAGCGCCTGTGACCCCTCACCCCACTCCGACCCGACCCCACGCCGCTGCCAGGTCAGAGCTGGCTGCAGGCGGATATGCTGTGAGGAGCCGGTGGGGGGCTTGAAGGTGGAGGAAAAGGGAGCAGGGAATTCCCGTCCCTTCCAGGTCTCCCCGGTGCTCTGGAATGAGTGTTTACCAGAGTGCAGGGTCCGATGGAGAGAAACTCAGGGTGAGCCAGGCGGGAGCAGAGCAGCACCACCCAAACCCGCAAGTGTACTAAGTATTACAACAGGGTTATACTATGAGCCAGTGCCGCTCTTTATATTTAAGCAATAAAGGCACTGTTTTAGTCTACTTCGGCTGCTGTAATAAAATACCACAAACTGGGTGTTTTGTTCTCAGTTCTGGAAACTGGGAAGTCCAAGCTCAAGGGACTGGTACATCCGGTGTCTGGTTAGGAGGGTCTGGTTCCTGGCTCAGGGAGGCTTCTTCTTGCTGTGCCCTCACATGGCGGAAGAGGCGGAGTACTCTCTGGGGCCTCTAAGGGCACTAATCCCATTTAGGAAGGCTCCATCCTCACGATTCAGTCACCTTGCGAAGCCTCTAACGCCAGAGATGGTCTAGGAACCCAGCGCCCAAACCGCAACCCAAACCCAGTTCCTTATCTCGAAGTGCCAACGCCGCACTTAAACCTGAATCCCAAGGTCTTAGTTTAGAAAAAACAACTGTTATCTGATGCTCAGCTGCTGGGACAACCTGGCTCATGTGCCCACAGGGAGGGCCCTGCGTGCCCACACATGCCACAGGTTTGCCACCACTGTCATATACGATCACCGTGGGAATTAGGATTTCAACATATGAATTTGGAAAGTATATAAATATTTGGACCCCAGCGGGTGTTCTCATTAAAATAGACAAATGCCAGCACTCAGAGTGCTTTTTTTATTATTTGAAAATTTGAAAGTTTTGGTCATTTCCATAAAAAATAATTTAGAAATAAATTTTTTTTAGAGTTGGAAAGAAAGAAAGATTTCTTTTAATGCTGTTATTATTTGAAGGTGTTATGATTTGGTACTAGAAATGGAAACCAAAACATTAACTATAAATATTGTGTTAAAGTGATGTGGTAAACTGGGTGAGTGGAGAATAAATGTCTTACAAAAATCTTCCCTTAACAGTTTGCATAGTGTAGTGGTTATCACGTTCGCCTGACAAAAGTCTTCCCTTGCCCCCCTCTTTCGCTCTAACAGTCTCCTTAAATTGTTAAATTGCCCAGGCTGAGCTCAAACTTTCAGTCCCCATGCCTTAACCTCCCAGAGTGCTGGGATTGGAGGTGTGTACCACCACGGCTGGTTACAAAAATGTTTTTCTATGTGCCAATGATTATAAACCGGAGAATAGGAAAATTTCCTTTTGCAAAGCAGACTGGAGTGTTCATATTTTATTAATATGTTTAGAGCATGAACTCTCATGGAATCTGACTGCCTGGGCTCAAATCCTGGGCCCCATTCATGGTTATGTGAACACTGGTAAATCACTTAGTCTCTCTATGTCTCAACTTCCTCTTTTAGTAAAAAGAGGGCATTAACAGCACCTGCTATGAACTGAGATAATACTTGAACCCAGTGAAATTGGGTTGAATCCAGTGAAATCAATGTTTCTGTAGGTCAAAACAGAATCTCACCAATGTCATTCGAGTCAACTACTGAGCATCAGTATCATACCCAGAGTTACACTTTCTCTGCGATTGCTCCACCAGCCTCCAGTTAAGGATAAAATAGTGCAGAGCAAGGAGCATGAAAATCGTAGGAGATAAATGAAAATGACCAATAAACGTAGTAAAAAAGCTCAGCCATGTTCACTAATCATAGAAATGTAAGGCAAATGGACATAATTTGGTCCATAAATGTGGCAAAGCCTTTCTTTCTTTCTTTCTTTTTACATACTCAGTTTTGTTGCTGATGATGTTTGACGGGGAAGGGAGCCAGGGACTCCTTCGCCGAGGGCTGTGTGCTTGGAACTGGTAGGGCTTTCTAGTAAGCAAGTGGATAAGGTGCAGCAACAGTCACATTCTTCCACCTTTTACTTCCTTGTCCAGGAATCTGTCCAGAAGTCATAAGCAAGAATTTTTCACGGAGACATGTGTAAAGCGGGGTGTGGTGGCACGTGCCTACAGTCTGAGTTACTTGGGCGGCTGAGGCATAAAGATCATAATTTCAGGCCCAGGCTGGGCAGCTCTGAGATCTTATCTCAAACACACAAAATCAGAAGGGTTGGCGATGAGGCTCAGTGGTAGTGAGCTTGTCTAGTGTGGGCGATGCCCCGGTGTCAATACCTAGCATCACAATAAAAAAGATTTTATGTATAAAAAGCTTTGTTATAGCAATTTTATCACAAGGAATATTCAGAAAATGTTAATGTCCAGTGGGGCATGACTAAATTTGTTTTGCTGCATATTTATGGGTCATGTATACAGTCATTAGGAAAAATTTTAAATAGAATTTGGTAATATAGAAACATACAATAATATATTTAAGAGAGGACAGCACACCAAAATGCACATGAGTTGTGACCCTAATTTTTTGAAATATATAATTAGAAATACTGTATCCTCTCAGAAAATCCATTTCTTTTCCATTTATTTATGATGCTTTGTATATTTATAGGAAAGGGCCAACCCCCATGCAAGTATGTGTATGTATGTACATGCATAAGTATGTGTATATATTTAAATTTATGTTTGTGTATGAAAATGCAAGCATGGATTCAAATTTGGATATTTGTGTATTAGATTCTCCCAACATGCGTTAAATTGGAAGAGTGTGTGACACATGTGGAGTGGGGGCCCAGAAAGGAGAGGGAGAAAGCAAGAAACAGAGGAAAAGCGACTGAGCAAATTCACAAAACCATAGATGCCTGGCGATCCCCTTGCTCTTCCTGGGGAGGGGCTGGTGGTGCCTGTAAACTGTCAGCTCCGCTCTGGGCCAGTAGGAGGACTAAGGCCTCAGAGCATCCGGGGTCTTCGTGTCCTTTTGCGTGATGCACCCTTTGGCTGGTGAAGCTTATGGAGACTCCTTGGAAATTTCACCTTTAAAGAATAAAGTACTTCGCAGTACAAAAGAAATCAATTATAATGAAATACAGTTATCAAAACACGTTTGCAAGAGCCAAATTGGCCGCACAGTAATACACGTACATTTTTATTAACATGTTAAATAATCAGACCTAACAGCCAGGCAACTGCAATTCTCAAGTACCGTCTGAATGCAGATGACATTTTGAGGCAGCTGCCCCAGCTGTCATGTGGGAGCTATGTGGGATTTCTCTAGTGACAAAATCACAGATTCTGCTATCACTCTTGTGGCTTGTTTTCTGCATGCACAAATGAAGGAAATGCTCAACTGCAGTTGGAAAGCAATAAAAAACAAAGAGTATTATTTTTCAGATAGGTTGATAAATCCCCCGAATTCTATTCATGGTCCTAGGTTGAGTCTCTAACTTCTGTGGCTCCAAGAGCCCAGCTTCCTATCTTGGTCCCTCCAGGCACCAGGACCCTGACCCTTCCTTTGTCTTTGTGTCCAGTCTACTGGAGATGGGGCAGCTGGTTGTGTCTATAATTCCTGGATAAGAAAACATTATGACACGTGACTTGCTGTGCTGTGGTTCATGCATTCCCTGTCCTGGTCTGGCCTGAGAAGGGTGGGAGGAGCAGCAGAACAGTGTAGAAGGCTTGGAAGTTCTTCAACACACAGATGTGGATGGATACATTTGCCCAAAATCGCAACTTCTTATTACCATTCTGGGTCCACAGTTGGATGGTCCCTCCGGACAGTTGCAGGTATTCTGACTCTGAGATTGTTTTTGGCTGCATTCTGTTGCTATAAATGAATACTACAGACTGGTTAATTTATAAAGAATAGGGAGGTTAATATAGCTCAGTATTCCAGAGCTGGGAAGTCTTGACCAGGTGCAGGCATCTATTGTCATTTGATGAGGTTCTTCTTGCTGCATTGTAACATGGCAGAAGGCATCACAGGGCCAAACAAAGCATCTGTGCTACTTCAGGCCTCTCTTCCTCTTCCTGTAAAGCCACTATGTTATGGTTTGTGTCTGAATGTCCCCAAAAGCCTCATGCAGTCATGGGGCAGGCTTCTAGTGTTTATGATTGATTCATGGTCCAATGCTGGGATTATGGATGTGAGTGCTACACCCGCCCTGGGGAGGGTAGTTTGCATACAGTGTAAGGGAGGGAAAGAGGCTGCTGGCGGCTGCTCCTTCATTTTGCTCTTGTTACTTTGCTGTTTTCCACCGCCATGAACTGTTGCCCTCTGCCATGTGCCACTCTGCCTTGGAGCCAGCCAAGTATGGACTGAAACCTCCACAAACTGTGAGCTAAATAAATCTTTCCTTCCTTAATTTTGGGTGTCAGGTATTTTGTCTCAGTAATGAAAGAAAAGTAATCAAGACATACTAATATTATCATGGAGGCCCCACCCCTGTGATCTTATCTAATCCTAATTACTTCCTAGAGGCTTTTCCTGCAAACACCATTGACATATGAATTTGGGAACTGCATTCCCAACTCATGAATGTTTGGGGGATATAGTCATACTAGCAGGGATTATTGGGATGAGGCTTCTGTTTCCCTTCATTTCTAGGCCATCATAATGTGGGAAGGTGAGGTCCCTTTGCACAGAGCCCACTGACAATTTTAGGAGTTTTCTTCATTC